TTTAGACACTTACCTGACAAAACGTTAAATAGTTTTAGTTTCCTGGTGAGATCAGGCTGGTTTGAACATGTATACACATTTGTTATCACAGTGGTTGAAGGTTAAATATGAAACAGCAATGTGAGCAATATTAGGAAATATACACTGTCTGTCTTGTTGCCTATCCAAGTTTTAGGAACAACAAGTCATAACCTGTCTTCTAGTTGATCATTTGGTATCAAAGGTGGCTTATATATATATATTTGAAAAGAGTAGGGGTGTAACCCCGGCATCCTGGCCAAATCTGCCCACTGGCCTCTGTCCATCATGGCCTCCTAACCATCCCCATATTCAATTGGCTTCATCACTCTGTCTCCTCTCCACCAATCAGCTGGTGTGTGGTGTGCGGTCTGGCGCAAAATGGCTGCCATCGCATCATCCAGGTGGATGCTGCACACTGGTGGTGGATGAGGAGATCCCCCCATTGTGTAAAGCGCTTTGAGTGCCCAGAAAAGCGCTATATAAACGTAAGTAATTATTATTAATTAATTATATAAAAAAAGCAAAGGCCTAGATTATGCTTATTTTGACAAAAAATATGATCATGCCTTGATTTTTAATAATTTATGAGGACAGTAAGGTCTGACTTTACTTTGACAAAAGTCTTGTCATGTAACAGAAATAATGTACAGTATAGAATATAAAGTCATGGTGCAGTGAAAAAGAATTAATATTGTGTATGATTCCCATGAGCTTGGAGGACAGCATCCATACATCTCTGCAATGACTCAAATAACTTATAATTAAAGTCATCTGGAATGGCAAAGAAAATTTTTTGGCAGGACTCCCAGAGTTCGACCTTCTACCACTTTTACAAATAATCAACTAGAAGTCAAGGTATCATTTATTGCTCTTACTACTAGGATTGACGACAAGATGTTTGTCAGGTAGTATATGTTTTTATGTCGCATACAGTTGAAGTCAGAATTATTAGCCCTCCTGAATTATTAGCCCTCTGTTTATCCCCCCCCCCCCCCCCCCCAATTTCTGTTTAATGGGGAGATTTTTTCAATACATTTCGAAATATAATAGTATTAATAACTCATTTCTAATAACTGATTTATTTTATCTTTGCCATGGCGACAGTAAATAATATTTTACTAGATATTTTTAAGACACTTTTTGAATGTCATATATGTAATTTGCATTTATTTTTATGTATTTGATTTCTATATAGGGAATAAATGGTGAGGAAATTTTCACAAATTTTCACTTCAATTGCTTTAAGAGTCCAAATCAGCTCAACCCTGTGAATCAACATTAATGTTCCCTTGTATATTCTCATTAACAAAACCTTTTCTTCAACAGCAGTATTTTACATTTCTTATACACTGGTCAGCAAAACTGTGTTGTTTGTGATTTTATGAGCAATAAATCAAAGCTCGCCTGCCTCTCTCATTCACTTTTAAGTCTAAATCATCAATCTTCAGCACATTAAGGCAGGTGATATTCTGAAATATCCATTAATCTAAATTCTAACTCTGCCTTCCTTGAGGGAATAACCAAATTGAGGATATTATCAGAGTCATTTTAAAGTCTACGTCTATCTCAGTTGGGAGCTGTGATGTGTTATATAGCTGTATGAGATCCAAAGAAAATGACAAATGTCTCAAAAGTGCAGGTGCAGACAGATTGCTGTCCAGACCTGTCCCTTAATTCCTGTTCATTTAGACTGAGCTGTGGCCGGTCATCTGTAATTTCTGCTTATCTCCTCCTGCTATGATTGGACTCGACAGAATCAACCAAAACTGCAGTATTGCTGAAAGGCTGCTTCTGATGTGCAGTTACTGGCACCTTTTTTTTCCTCTATCTTATATTCTTGAATTGTGAAAACAAACTAATTAGAGCTCTGGGCATTGGGAGAAAAATGCCATTGTTTATTTGATCCACTCTTTTTCAGCAGACTCATGATTTTTGGTCAGTGATTAGGAAACGGTTTACTGCTTAATTAAAATTCAAGGTCAATATACAAATTCTAAGTTAATTGCACATTTACATATATACTTTATATACAGCTAAAGGCAAATTGTTGTTTAACTGAGAAGATGTTATTGAACACATTTTTAAACAGTAGTTTAGTAACTAATTCCTAGCTGGTTTATTTAGTCTTTGCCATGATAATTTACCTGTTATTTTGCAAGATATTAGAATTCAGCTTATAGTGCAATTTAAATGCTTAACTAGGTTAATTAGGCAAGTCATTAAACAACAGTGGTTTATTCTGTTGCTAATTTGAAAAAAATCTTTAGAGGGGTAATAATACTGATCATGAATTATGTAAACACTGCTCAAAAAAAGGGAACTAAAACAACACATCTGAGTGAATTAAATATTTATAATAAATATCTAAAATCAAAGAAAAAAAATGCTCAGGGTAGCTCGAATAATGTGTCTGTGCTCTTTGGGTAAGGGATTTATCAGAATAAACAGCAAAAATCATTCCAAGGCACTCGAAAAATTATTTAAAAAAAAAAGCCTTCATTCACGTGGCTAATCCTTAAAAAAATCCTGCGTTTTAGCACAGAGCTGCCTACATCAGGGTCACCTGATTTAATTTATATTAAATACTTTGTTCTTTACATAGTTGAATGTGCTGACAACAAAATGACACAAAAATTACCAATAGAAAACAAATTTATTAACCCATGGAGGTCTGAATTTGGAGTCACGCTCAAAATTGAAGTGGTAAAACAGTGTGTGTGGGCGCCACATGCTTGAATGACCTTTATAGACTCCTTTATTGGGGTGTATTGCTAATTGCCTATAATTTCCACCTGTTGTATATTTCATTTGTACAACAGTGTGTGAAATTGATTGTCAATCAGTGTTGGTTCCTAAAGCCGTGGTCCCACTGCACTTTTTGCTCCAGAGACTTCCATTCAAATGCATGCGAATGCGACAGACTGGAAATGCAAGATTGTGCGCCAAGTTTAGCAGTTAACTGCGTTGGAAAGTTCAAGCTTGGAAAACTTTGACTTGAGAATTCACATTACGTCATTGTGTGAGAAATCACATCACATGATTGTGTGAGACCCATCGAAGATCAAAAGAAGATCTCTGGACAGAAAATTGAAATATGGAGCAATTACTTGCTTTTTAAATGTCTAATCATCTTGATCAATCCCACCCCTTTTCTCAGCACCGTACGACAGAATTTTGCATGCTCATAGTCTAGTGACTGTGGCATCAGGGGGCAGTTTGATTGCACAAAAATGTGTTTGACTTGGAGTTACATTGGCTGCGAACAAAATCGCATACTTTCAATGCTACATAGTACGCTAAAATCAGTATGCGAGCTGAGTAGTATGTCCAAATTCATAGCAATTCATTTGAAAAACAGTATGCGAGAAACTCCTGGATGACCTACTACATGCAGCAAGATTCTGAAGTGCACACCCGAAGCATGCTAAGGTATCACATGATGCACTGTGAAAGAATTCATGAATAGAAGTGACGCAACTGATGCGTGTAGGTCACGTGATCATGACAAAATAGCTGGTGTAGTAATTCCAAGTTCGATTCATACTGCTCACATTCATTCTGTATAGAATGTGCTTTTCTAACGGTCAAGCAGTTAATTCAAATTCAAATGCAGTACCTACTAAGTAGTAGTAGATTTTGGATGCAGCCATTGTGTTAAGTGTTTTCTTTATGTATTTATTTTCTGTTTGAGCAGTGTATATTTTAAAAATATATACATTTATAAAAATAAATTGGTCTAATTTCAGCCAAACTAAAAGATATAAGACTTTCTCCATAGAAAAAATATAATGTGACAGTGTCTTTGTTCTGCTAAACATCAATCATTCATTCATTTTCATTTTCAGCTTAGTCTCTTTATTAATCAGGGCTCGCCACAGTGGAATGAACCGCCAACTTATGCAGCATATGTTTTACACAGCGACTGCCCTTCCGGCCGCAACCCAACACTGGGATACACCCATACACACTCACTTGCACACACCTACACTACAGACAATTTAGCTTACCCAATTCACCTGTACCACATGTCTTTGGACTTATGGGGCAACCGGAGTACCCGGAGGAAACCCAAGCGAACACGTGGAGAACATGCAAACTCCACACAGAAATGACAACTGACCCAGCCCAGGCTCGAACCAGCGATCTTCTTGTTGTGAGGTGATCATGCTACCCACTGTGCCACCGCGACACCCTCCGTTAAACATCATATGGGAAATAATTGAAAACAAAAATATTCGATTTCACAGGAGGGCTAATACTTTTGCCTTACTGCAAAAACTGCACTGTTCGCACAATAAAAGCAGTTTTATTGTCTCTGTTCTCTAGGTTTAATATTTAAGGTTATACGTTTTAGTAATGGCCTGTTAGCTAGAACATTTCTGCAGTGGTTTGCATGTCTCAAATTGTAAAAGTAGACTTTTCAAAAGATAAAAAAAAAAAAAAAACGATATACTTAATAATAAAAATAAAAATAATAATAATAATCATCAGTATCATTAATATTATTAATAATATTATTAAAGTAGTGTTTTTTCATTTCCTAATAATTAATAAATATTAAGTTTCATTTCTTGATAAACAGCCTCATTGTTTCTTTATTTATTTATACGATTTATATATGATATTAAAAAAGTGTTAGCTTTTGTAAGTGATTTTATGTTTTATAATAGAACATGTTCTTCTCAATAATATTTGTAAAGGAAAAATGGCCCTATATGAGCCATTTACATATATTTTAATTAATATGGAAAGTAAGGGGGTTTTGATCAAAAATAATAATGGATTTTTTTAAGTGCATGTGCATGTAAAACAATATAATTTGCACAAATAAATTATGCGGTTCTTCTCCAAAGAAGTTGTTACTCCACCCTGTTTAGTGCATCATTATGGACGTTTTACATTATAACTAATGTGGTTCTAATGATAGATCTGCAACAGAGAAACTACGGGTTTTGAGAAAAACTTGTCACTACATCATTCTTCTCCCAAACAGTGGATCATATGATATGATAGTTCAGCTGCGAGTTACGTCGTTGTTTGGGAAACGCACCCCTGTAAACGCACTCAAGTAAAGTCTGTGTGGGAAGCACTGTGTTTTAAAAGGAAATACAGTAGGAAAAAACTAAAAAAAAAAAAAAAAGACTTTTCGTCTACATGCAATATCTGACTCAGCAGTGCACTAGTTTCTTTTAGCAGAAATGGCCACTTACACAATTCTAGTAAATGGCCGGAAGATAAAAATAGCGCCCCCAAGTGTAATGAGAGGCTGAGGAAATAATGCTTACGAAACCAAAAAAACAATCAAAAGAGGTCAGCAAGCGTCTGCCATCAGCAAGATGTGCAATGACAACAATAGCAAACACTCTTATCTGTGGCCAATAGAAAAGGACAAAAGGAAATACACAAAGGCATTGTTCATATTTAAAAGATGATACTGAGAATTGAAAATGTTCAAGTGTTAGTTTCTCCCTCGAGTATGAAGGCCAAGCACTGGGGAAACTGTTCACAATCCAGACATACTGAAGGTCATTACAGCTATGGAGAATAATACAGAAGAGGAGAGGCTGAATAAACCTCTCCACTGGGGAACAGTTGGACTTCTGCACTCAAAGCAAGGTCTCCTAGTCTCAGTGAGTGTTATTCTTTTTTTATGATCTCCTCCTAATAACAATTATCCACACATTTCCATTGATAAGGAGCTCTCTGGGGAGATGGTCGAGTCCTGTTAAATATCTGTTGTTTTTAAACTACATTACCCATAAGTCAGCTGAAGCAATTAAGATAATAGCTTGCGCTAGGCTAATTTGTTGGCACGATGTAAATCACAGCCTGTAACTGATGTGATTTAACTGGTGGATGGTGTTGGCACGAAAACAGAGGTGGTGAGTAATTATACGCTTTTGATTTCACACTTTTAATTATCTCCAGAACCACAGCCCTGCTTTACTGTAGCAGTTTGAGAAAAGTCCAAATTGAAAAAGGAACAGTTTTCTTATCTTCACCTCGGGGAAGGAGCTCTGAACTACTGCATTTAATAGGATTCTGCAAATGATACGACTCTAAGGCTTTCCAGGAAAATACACACACTCAAAAAATATATGTTGCTAAAATAAAATATTGTTTTGAACCAGGAAAAGTAATGGGTTGTGGGAACTGATGCATAATTTTGCTTTAATTTTCATATTGCCCTCCGGATACATTTCAGGAGCTTTTATTAGAGGGATTCAAAAACACAAATATATTTCCAAACAAAAACTGCTTCAGGGGTAGTTAATGTGTCAGTGTTCTTAGGATAAGGGACTCATAAAGATAAACAATGAAATAAGTCTAATGCCGCGGTTACATTAGAGTTTGTGCGTGCAAAATTCTGTTGTATAGGGCTGCAAAAAGAGCCGGGATTAAAGATGATTACCATTGAAACTATTTGATTGATTTTGATCTTCGATTGGTCTAATAGATATTTACACTAGATTTACATATGCATACGGACCCTAAGCATGCATCGATACCGGCGCCATATTGGTACAGGGCGCCCAGGAAAAATGCCCCTTTCTGCACTATAAGACTAAAGCCAATTTAACCGCACTAGTCAAGACTAAAACCAATCTGAAGATGCTGGACTGTTAGGCACTAGCATTGAAATTCACAACGCTCTCTTTCCCTATAGGTATATATTTTTTCGTTAGATTCGTTTTTGTTTGTTGTTTTTTTTATCATGTAAATAAACTACATTTAAAAAAAATTATTTCAAGTGGAATCTTTATTTTTCCACTATATAAAGTTCCACTATTCAGGGTGCCCCAGGTTTTGAAAAGACGTAATAACATTAAAATCTTAATGGTTAAACACAGATTCAGGGTGCGAATTACAGGGGGGAGAGGGATTGACCTCCTTAAATAATGCTTGATCCCTCCTGAAGGACATAAAAACAAGATGTATGGGGAGTCAACCCTTTACTAGTGAGAAGTTACTTTCTCTGATCTTTGATCTATATCTTAAATATTATTTTAAAATGTATAATACTAATATACATTTGATCCCCCATAACAGTTTTTACCATTGTGAATGCATAACGCACAACCTAATGCTAGGAAAAATATCATTCAGCAGTCTGAAACTGGCAGTTCTAGAGCACAGAGAGACATCTTAAGTATTCACAAAACACGTTTCTTGTAAACATAAATAAAACTCGATACGGCTACTGTATTTACTAAACGCTACTATGACCGTTGGGTTTAAGGTAGGGCTAGACTTTAAAAAATACAATTTATTAGGTAATTTAATAAATAACATAAATAATACTCGCTTCAGCTACTGTTTTTACGTTACTGTGACGGTTGGGTTTGGGGTTGTGGTGGGGGTAGACGTTAAAAAATACCATTTATTGGGTAATTTATTAGATAGCATAAATAATACTCGCTACAGCTACTGTTTTTACGTTACTATGATGACTGGGTTTAGGGTTGGAGTGGGGGTAGATGTTAAATATTTTTTTGGGGGGTAATTTAATAGATAACAAATAATACTCACTACAACTACTGTTTTTACATTACTGTGATGATTGGGTTTAGGGTAGGGGTAGACGTTAAAAAATAAATTTTTGGGTAATTTAATAGATAACATAAATAATACCCGCTAAAGCTACTGTTTTTACGTTACTGTGACGGTTGGGTTTAGGGTAGGGGTAGACATTAAAAAATACCATTTATTGGGTAATTTAATAAATAATATAAATAATTCTTGTTACCTTCTGGCCACAACCATATCCGATCCAGCATCAACCTGTGAAAATCATTTGTTCACCGAAGTCACCGCTCTTTACTGAGAGTAACTACAGATAAAGCGACATTGGATTGTTTCAAAGTCACATCGATCAGCTGGTTTGTCTATAAGCTGACATACGAGTGATCCGCCGATGAATCGCTGCTTTAAAGCGCTTCAGTGTCCCTGTGTCTGTGGTAGCATTCAGTAAACAGCGGTGAGTTCGATGAACTGATGACCTTCACATCCAATCACAGTCATTTCTGTTGAGCATGTGAACACAATGGCAAATCAGAGCTGTTTAAGAACTTTCTCAACAACACTCAAATGTTAGCGAGAAATTAACAATTTAAACATTTAAGAATTGGTATCGAATTTCTGTCTCATGACAACCCTAATTTTTTGTTTTTGTTTTTTATATTGTTCTTGATGCAAGTATATATTGTTTAATTCAGAGAGAAAGAAAATGTGAACTAATTGTTTTCTGCTGCTAGATTGGAACAGTTGATGTCTTGTGATTTGTATACTGTAACTCTCTGACTAATATGCATCAACAAAATAAGTTAAACTAAATACCTAACAATACAGAAAATGATATATCAAACATGATAGTCAACTCAAAAGTCATTACTTATCCAGTAATGCAAGAAAAAAATGATAATGATAATAATAAGTATTGTTTATCTACATTTCACAGTACAGTGCACCCAGTTGCATAAGACTTGTGCGTATGGTACATGAGCAAGGTTTTGACAAGTAGTCTCCCCATCCTGTGCGGTCTGACCTGTCAGCTGTCACTGACAGACTACTCATTATGTTGAGTCATTTTATCCTCTGCAGTCCTGCCAAAAGGGGAGATGTTTGCTATTCTAAGTCCATGATGAGGGATTTGAATTATAGCTGCTGAATCATTTCTCAACAATCAGGTCCTTGCTGTTGAAATCTATAAAAGCCTGAGTGAATGGTTTCAAGTATGTTATTGCAAAACGCGCAGTGAATGCTATTAATATTTTAGCATATTGATTAAATGATTGAATAAGCTGTATTTACACTGGTGTTTAGGTCAGGCGAATACTGTGAAGAAGTTTACTATGAGAGAATGTTCACTTCAGAAATATGCAAATGTTGAAGGAACTTCCAGAATATTAAAACATAATTTAATAACTTTGGGAAGAAATGTTGCAATTTTAGTTTTTTTCTTACAGAGATGTTTGAAGAAAGTCACAGTTTGTGATTTACGTTCATTTGAGCTTAAAAATGTTATTATTTGATTTTGATCTCTGCTCTGAGAAGTGCTGAAAATGAAATTAATAGTACAGTATATTTTAATAAAATATTGTCTGTTTTGCTTAAATAAATTTTTGTACTAAAAAACGATAATAAGCTGCCATTACATTTTTTGTTATTGTACTAAAAACAGTTGTGTGAATGTATTTTTTCAGTGATTCACAGATGTTTATACTTTTGAGTTGGATTATTGGACCGTGATCTCTGCTTTGACAACTTTTGATAATCAAAAATCTGATTTTGTGATTAAAAATTTTACTTTTTAGGGACATGTTTAAAGTTTGATATTATTTAAAGTACTGTCTAGATTAGTCATGTTACACACAGGACAAAAAAAATACAGTTTCTGTTATTTTACAATTTATTTTTCAGATTACACCTCATCGTATGTACTCTTTTATGTGTCTTAATAATATTTTATCAAACATGTTCACTGAAAAAAAATATAATTTTTTTTATGCTGAGTGGTTGTAAACAATATATTTGGGCTGAATTTAAACAAATAAAATAGTTTGAACATTAATAAGTTTAATTTGTTTGTTTAAATGAAACACATAAATTGTTTGCAAGAGTTTTGCAGAAATATTTTTTTCAGTGTTTAAAGAATAACAGTGTTGTAAAAGAAAAAAATCAGTTGCTGTTTAAACATGTGTAAATGCACAATGTGTTGTGAAGGCATTAATTAACATTTTTTATATGTAATAAATTCTTAAATCCCATAAATAATAATTTTTAAAACTCCATTAAACAAAGTTTGTTTGCAAACCAACATTTTTACCTTACCGTAATTTTTAAAGAGTATAACACATGACTTGGGCAGGAACAAAAATCAGGTAGCCCAAAGTGTTCATATAAAGCAGGGGTGCTCAACCTTGTTCCTGGAGATTTACCTTCCAGGTTTCAGTTGCAACCCATATCAAACACATCTGCCAGTAATTACCAAGTGCTGTTCAGGTCATATTTAATTGGTTCAGGTGTGTTTGATCAGGCTTGGAGTTAAACTTTGCAGGAAGGTAGATCTCCAGGAACAGGCTGCTCTTATATAAAGTAAATCGTTCAAAACAACTCTCACTTGACTCCAGCTTGATATATTGTGCATCACCTACAGATCACATCACTGAACAGCTGGCGAATCTATTTAGTGAACTGTTTCCAAAAAGTCCACTAAACGAACCAATGAACAGATCTTTGGGTGAACCGATTCTAAAGATTCGAGTCACCGGGACGAATCGAAATCCCCACCTCTATCACAGTCAGCGAGATGCAGGTGGAGCGCGCGCACCAGCCTCTCCAATGAGCGCAGGGCGGCGGTCTTATATTTGCTTTGGCTCTTCACGTTTACTCTCACTGCAAAGGCGACTCGTGCACCCAACTATCAACAAGTATGGTAAGTCATTGTGATACGTACTATTTATATTACAAACGCCGCCTTAATCACTTGAAACCATACATAAAACGCTTAAAGTTGTAACTCATTGAGGAAAGTAATGGGTTATGTCTTACGTTGTCTTTGTTTGTTTGTTGCCATTCTATTTCATTGATATTTTAGTTTATTTTATGTTTTAAGTCATCCGTTTGAGCAGTGATTAAGTTAACATTCATGCCTCGCCAGCATTTTTTAATAGTAGAAAGTGTACATTTTTTATTTAATTTCTCAATGTTTCTCAAGCGAAATAATTGAGATTAAATTGGTTGTATCTATTGATTAAAGAGCTGTGTTCGGATTTGTTTGGAAACGGCTCTAGCCTATTTCCCCCACGCTATCTCTAAATAGGGGGACTCTTTAAAGACTCTGTTTTTCTTATCACTTTAGCGTTTCTTTCTTGGACGCAGT